TCTAGAAGAGCACACATTATTTCCTTAGAAATACTGTCACTTGGCAGGCCATGTTATGGATCCCCTGGCCAAATTAATTGCCTATCTTGACTTTTCACCACAAAACAGTACCTGTAAAGTTGTTTTTCGGGTAGCAAAGGTCCAGTGGTAATTAGTGGTAAGGAGCATTTATATTCCCTTAGCAACTGAATTGCTATTTGCTTATATTGTATTTGTATTTTATAGTGTTTTATGATTTTTCATGATTTTACAATAACAACTGTGAGGGTTCTCTGGGTTGAAATGCACCCTATATATCTAAGTTAAAGTAAAGTTGAGGTATCAACAAATGTTTATAGTTGAAAACTTTCATGTAAGTGTTCCATCTCATTTTTTATTTAACTATTATTGTTGTGCAAAATTGAAAAGAAACACTAAAGAGAAATAGTTATAAATAAAACTAATGAAAAATTAAAAAATAGACTAAAGAATGTCTGAAGAATAAGTAAAATACTTAGAATGTTACAAGTAAGTACAGATAGAGATAAGTATGTGTAATCTGATAAACATTTTAAACATCTATATTCAATATATTTCTATCCTAAATGACAATTGTACAAATAAGAGTATTAGCTAACCATTAATGCTATTATAATTAATAGCAATCAAATTTGATGGAACTAGTATTTCATTATAGAGATTTTCGAAAGGGCTTTATTAACAATAAGAAATGGAATGATTCTCTTGTCTTAGTTCTCAGTATTAATTTGAAAATGAAACCTGGCAAAAATCAAACATATCTTGCGAAACAAATACCATATTTTTTGGAGTATAAGATACACCTTTCCCCCCCCTAAAAGGGGGGTGAAAATTTGGGTGCGTCTTATACACCGAATGTAGCCCCACCCACCCACTGGCCCCCACCCAGGGGTGAAATGCTCCCGGATCAGACCGGATAGCTCAGTCCAGTAGCAATCTTGGTCGTTGGTTCGGTGATCTGGTAGTAATGGCAGAGCGAAGCCTGGGTGTCTTTACCTCCTGGTTTTAACCAGGAAGTAATTTGTTTTTTACCTTCTGTGCATGCACAGAAGGTCTGTGCACCTGTGTGACGCGTATGTGGTGCGTACACTTCCAAACTGGTAAGGAAGGTAAGTATATTTCACCCCTGCCCCCACCTTTTGGCCTCTGCCTCCCAGCAATTTACCTCCTTGCAGCAAGCAGCAAGAAGAAACAGCCCATTTCAGCTTCAGCACAGCTTAATTAGCACAAGTTGATTGTCTATTGGATCAGCCTCCTGACTCTCAGCTGTTTCAGGCTGCAGGCTGCATTGCCTATTGCTGTGTGGGCCTCTGCTGCTTGCTGTAAGGAGGTAAATTGCTGGGAACAGATTTTCTTTTCTTGTGCTAATCAAGCTACGCTGAAAACGAAAATGAAAGTAAAGCTTGCTGTTTGCTGCAAAGAGGCAAAATTGCTGGGAGGCAGAGGCAGATTTCTTTTTCTTGTTTTCCTCACCAAAAAAGTAGGTGTGTCTTATAGTTCGGAGCATCTTATACTATGAAAAATATGGTATTTCTTGTTTCATAGTAAGGTTTTTTGGCTTATAGGCAAGATTGCAAGAATTAATGGAAATCACTTTTAGTGCAGTACATACAAATAAAAATGCATGCCAGCTTAGTGTAGTGTAGTGGTTGCCAGGACTCAACACTGTTTTGAAGCCATCAATATACATGATTGTAGCCAATTAATCAGACCAATTAAATGTTCTGAAATATTAACTGGTGTTTGATAGAAAATGACAGCAACAATCTTCCATTCTATAGTAACTAATGTATAATTTTAAAGAGGAATACCTTTTAACTGTCAGATGGCAAACATTATTTTAAGAGGCATTCGTTCTCTTTTTTTCCTTTCAAAAATATATACAAAAATATATGCACAATTTAACAGTGAAATAAAAATTTGCTTCAAGATTCCAACATGTATCTGACATATGTCAGTTTTATGCAGCAAATAAACTCAGTGTGTGTTATGTCTGCGCAAGCGTGAGCAGAAGCTTTTCCTTCTGCCACACAAGTGCAGGACATATTTTAAAGTTATTGGTTAAACGCTGAACCACTACATCGATTGTTAGGGGAAAAGGTGCCGTGGGTATGGGGGCACAGAGAAGCAGCTGCATTTGTGAGGGTGAAAAAATTAAATTCCTCAGATAGCATCTTAGTTCAGTTTAATGAACATCTGCCGTTAGTCCTGACGTGTGATGCATCCCTGTTTGGAGTCGGGGGAGTTTTGAGTCATCATCTTCCAGACAATCGTGAGGCTCCAATAGCATTCTTTTCCAGGACACTTATCATCTGCCGAGAGGAACTACAGCCAACTTGATAAAGGGGACTTGGCTGCGGTGGCTGGAATTAAGAGATTTCACTAATATGCTTATGGAAGGAGATTTGATTTAGTGACAGATCATAAGCCGCTGTTGGGACTAATTGCAGGGGACTGGCAAACACCTCAGATCCTGTCCCCAAGAATGATGCGTTGGACAGAGTTTTTAGCAGCATATAGTTATCGACTTATACATCGACCCGGCATAGAACTGGGCCATGCTGACAGCCTAAACCGATGTCTGCTACCTAATCTAGTGGAGGATCCAGCTCCAGCAGCATCAGTACTACTGATTGAGACCATGCTGTCTGTTCTTGTTACAGCCGCAGAAGTGGCAACCCAGTCGAGAAAAGACCGAACTATCATGCAAGTGTTAAACTGAGTGTGGAGGGGATGGCCAAAAGGGACAGGGAGTGTAGAGTTTAAGCCATTCCGGGCAAGGCAATATGAACTTTCAGTGCAGAAGGGTTGCCTATTGTGGGGGAATTGGGTAGTGATACCCTCAAGGCTAAGGAAATAATTATTAGAGACTCTAGATGAAGGCCACCCCGGAATTGTAAGGATGAAGGTGTTGGCCCGTAGTTATCTGTGGTGGCCAAATATAGATAGAGATATTGCGGAGTGGGTGACGTGTCAAGCATGCCAGGAATCGAGACCTGCACCTCCTGCAGCACCACCATGGGACTGGGAAACACCGAAAGGCCCCTGATCTAAAATACACCTCGGTTTTGCAGGGCCGATAAAGGGGTTATCTTTCCTAATTGTTGATGCATATTCCAAATGGCTGGAGGTGGCCATAATGTCAACCATGACAGATGCTGTTGTTAGACCATTAAACAAAATGTTTGCAACACGTGGGTTGCCGGACGTGTTGGTATCGGACAATGGGCTGCAATTTACGGCAACGGCATTCGTTGTATTCCTAGTAAACCGAGGAATACGTCACGCCCTTGTTGTGCCATTTCACCCTGCGAGTAATGGGCAGGTGGAGTGAACGACGAACGACGAAAGAGGCGTTGACTCGAATGTGTCCAGGGGACTATCAGGAGAAACTTGATAAGTATTTAGTCAACCAACATGTCACTCCCTGTGTAGCCACCGGAAAGAGCGTAGCCGAATTACTTATGGGTCGCCGGCTGAGAACAAATTTAGACAGAATACACCCTGATTATTCAACAGAAACCCTCACAGACTGGGAAAGTACGGTCAGAACCCTTTGAGCAAGGTGATCTAGAATACGCCCAGAATTATACCGGTCAACCCATATGGGTGCCAGCACAGATTACAGAAGTTACGGGTCCCCGTTCATTCTGGGTGGAGCTTGAGGATGGGCGCCTGTGGCACCAACATATTGATCAGCTTTGGAGCCAAGTGAGGGGGACAGCCATTAGGGAGCTGGAAGAAGTAAACCGGGGTGGGAATCCAGAAGAGCGAGAGGGACAACAACGCAGTGAAAGTGTATCTGAAGGGCTGAGGCCAGTGCAGAATGAAACATGTTATTGAGGGTCCATTGCCATGGAGTCCGTCTCGCTTTTCTCCATCTCTGACTAAGGGATATACTCCGGGGGGGTGGGACATAGAGTATTTGTAAGGCATCTGATGTAGTTGAAGAATCGTTGAGAATGAGGTGAACATGTGAGGGCCCGACAGAAATACAGGAGAACCGCCAGTCGACGCAAAATTGCCTTGTATCTGGATGATTATGTTTGTAGTGTACGAAGTTTCCCTGAGGGAGGGGGAAGGGGTGTTATGTCCGCGCAAGTGTGAGCAGAGGCTTTCCTTCCTGCCACACAATGCGGGACATATTTTAAAGTTATTGATTAAAGGCTGACAGTTTTCCTTTAAAAGGGGCTGTCAGCCGGAAATTGCATGTTGGTTTTACTGAGTCCTTATCTAAAATAAAAATTGCTGCTGGAAGTCTGGCTCCTTGTCTGTGTTCCTACCCACAACATTCCAGTGTGTATCATAATACTTCCAACAAAAGCTACAATCACTTGCATTTTTATACAGAAGTTCCACGTAGCCACTAACAATTGTACTCAATTTTATATATTATTACATTTACCTGAATGTTAGCTCAAATGTAACAGAAACACTTTTTATTCAATTGAACAAGTTAGTTGCAATATTTTACAGGCCACTAATTCCAATGGGACTTTACCCATATCCATTGTGTTGAAATTTGGACACAGTTAATGCAGAAGGGAAATAAAAATGATAGTGATATTATGAATGAATACTGCCTACATCTTATGTTTTTATATGCTTATATGCTATTAATCCAAACACTGGTTATTTTTCTATAGGCACGTATATAGATTAGGTAAGTCTTTGTGAAATATATTTTTCTTCAGAATTTCTAATTTCTTTTGCCTAACACATTAAAATGTACATTTATAAAGTGGCTTCATTCAATAGTAGGATTGAATAGTTGGATTTGTCAACAATGTGTTTAATAAATCACCTGTTGGGGAGAAAACTGGTTAAAACAAATAGCTGCTCCTGAGAGGCCTACTAAAGGAAAAAGATTTGGAGGAAAGAGACGGAAATTAATGTAGTTTCCTAAGTTATATTCTTAAACTTAATTCTTAAACAGAAGAATTCTTAAACAGAATATTCCCATACTTTGTTTTTGTGTACAGGGATTGAAGCATTTAAGAATGGAAAAAGACTTCTACTATTTCCAGCATCCGTGGTCTCGCTTAATTGTGGCCTACCTAGTGATCTTCTTTAATTTTTTAATATTTGCTGAAGATCCAGTATCCCACAGCCAGACAGAAGCAAATGTCATTGTTGTTGGAAACTGCTTTTCCTTCATTGCAAATAAATACCCTGACGGAGGTGGTTGGAACTTTTTAAAAGTGACTTTGTGGCTATTTGCCATTCTCACAGGACTCATAACTGGCAAGTTTCTCTTCCACCAGCGTCTATTTGGTAAGTCCCAAAATGTGTTAAAAGCATTTTGGTTATGTTGCTATTTAACACTTTTATATTTAAATAAAAATGCAACAGAGTCCTTGCCACGTCTCAGTGTAATATACTGCACTATAGTACAGCATTTATCTGCTTGGATTATGTAAATAATATCTAATTAGTAATGTCCAGTTTTTCTACCTATATTCACAGTGTACTAAAGAACTTTTTTGTCTTGTTATCTACCATTTAAACTCTGGCTTTGGTGATTGGTGATCATCTGATTTCCAAATGTATGGCATTCCCTCGAAATGGGACAACTCACCACGGCCAACTTTCTGCAGCCATCTTGCCATGGACATCTTATCACGGCCAACCTGATGCAGTCATCTCACTGCTGCCATGTCACCAGAGCCAACTTGCCATGATTCAACTTGCTGTGGCCAGCTCACCATGGGACAACTCGCTGTGGGACAGTTCCATGCAGTATAACTCAATGCAATAAATAATATCCACCTCTGTTTCTTCAACATTATTTCCATTGACAAAAATGGAAGTAATGTACCCTGTTTTCCCCAAAATAAGACATCCCATGATAATAAGCCCAATTGGGCTTTTGAGCACATGACAATAAGGTCAAGTACTTATTTCAGGGTTCAAAAAAATATAAGACGGGGTCTTATTTTCGGGGAAACACGGTAGAAGAAACTGGTGGATAACAGTTATTGTGTTGAGTTATCCCACATGGATTGGCCCATTGAGAGTTGGCCATGGAAGTTGGCTATGGTGAATTGTTCCTCAGTGAGTTGGCCTTAGCAGATTCCTATTGTCTATTGATTTCTATATCTATAAAAATTAGTCCCATATTTCAAAACTAAATTCTAAATGAAAGGTACTGCATCATGTTCATTGTATCAAAATGAATGTGGGAGGGTTAATTTTCTAATTGTCTATCTTGTTAAAATATGCTAATACACATCTGTTCTGATATGGTCAGGTTTAATATGCTTTAGACTTCAAAATGTGAACATGCATTTTGAGAACTCTTGCGGTTGCAGTTTTTAGATACCTGATTATTAAACCACATTGCTGATAAACTATTATGAGACCTGTTGCAACACACACCTGGTGTGTGTATGGGGTGGGGGTTATTTTATTATTAGAGCTTTGGTGGTGCAGTGCTTAGAATGCAGTACTGCAGACTACTTCTGCTGACTGCCAGCAGTTTGGCAGTTCAAATCTCACTGGCTCAAGATTGACTCAACCTTCCATCCTTCTGAAGTTGGTAAAATGAGGACCCAGATTGTTGGGGGCAATATGCTGATTCTGTAATACCACTTAGAGAGGGCTGTAAAGCACTGTGAAGTGGTATATAAATCATAAGTGCTATTGCTGCTATTATTTTTATTTATTTATTTATTTATTTATTTATTTATTTATTTATTTATTTATTTATTTTTCAGATTTCTATACCACCCTTCTCCTTTCGGAATCAGGGCGGTGAACAGCCAAGATAAAAAACATTTATACACAAAAGTTAAAAATAGATTTAAAATAATTAAATAAATTTGGCCTGTAATCTAAAACTTTTCAATTAAAATCCATATCAAATTTTAAAATCAACCGTAAAATCAGGACAGCCCGGCTAACTGAAAAAAATAGGTTTTTAGGGCCTGACGAAAAGTCCGGAGGTCGGAGATCACTCATATCTCTGGGGGTAGATTGTTCTAGAGGATAGGTGCCACCACAGAGAAGGCTTTCCCCCTGGGGGTCGCCAGCCGACATTGTCTGGCCGACGGCACCCTGAGGAGGCCCTCTCTGTGGGAGCGAACTGGCCGGTGGAAGGCAATTGGTGGCAGAAGGCGGTCCCGTAAGTACCCCGGCCCTAAGCCATGGAGCGCTTTAAAGGTGATCACCAACACCTTGAAGCGCACCTGGAAGTCCACCGGAAGCCAATGCAGCTCACGCAGGAGAGGAGTCACATGGGAGCGCCCCGTCGCTCCCATAATCCCCTGCGCGGCCGCATTCTGCACCAGTTGGAGCCTCTGGGTGTACCCCAAGGGGAGCCCCATGTAGAGAGCATTACAATAGTCCAGACAAGAAGTGACAAGAGCTTGAGTGACTGTGCGTAGGAAGTCCCGATCCAGAAAGGGGCGCAACTGGCGTATCAGGCGAACCTGATAAAAAGACCCCCTGGGCACGGCCGTAACTTGCTCTTCTAAAGACAGCCGTGCATCCAGGAGGACACCCAAGTTGCAGGCCCTTTCCGTGGGGGCCAATGATTCGACCCCAATAACCAGCGATAGCGCCAGCTGGCTATACCGGGACGCCGGCAGCCACAGCCACTCGGTCTTGGAAGGGTTGAGTCGAAGCCTGTTTCTCCCCATCCAGACCCACACGGCCTCCAGGCACTGGGACATCACTTCCAAGGCATCGTTGGGATGGTCTGGGGTGGAGATGTACAGCTGAGTATCATCAGCGTACTGATGGAACTCCACTCCAAAACCACGGATGATCTCACCCAGTGGCTTCACATAAATGTTGAACAGGAGGGGCGAGAGGACCGACCCTTGTGGCACCCCACAAACAAGGCGCCTTGTTAAATACTTAGGGGTTTATATTATGACTGCAAATATGAAATTATATCAGCACAATTATGAACCACTATGGCACAAAATACAAAGGAGATGGAAAACTGGAAAAAACTACAATTGTCTTTGCTGGGAAGGATAGCCGTTGTAAAAATGAATATTTTACCAAAATTTTTATTTCTTTTTCAAATGATACCTATGCTTAAAAAAGATGAAAATTTGAAGGAATGACAGAAGGACATAAACAAGTTTGTGTGGGCAGGGAAGAAACCTTGAGTCAAACAAAAGATAATGCAAGATATCCGAGAAAGAGGTGGTCTTAAAATGCCCAATTTAAGATTGTACTATGAAGCCGCTGCCCTCTCAGCAATTACAGACTGGATAAATTTAACGGAGGAAAAGATATTGAATATTGAAGGATATGGTTTGGTCTACAGCTGGCATGCTTATTTAGTCTATGACAAGAAAGTAGATAAGGCTTTTAAAAGTCATATATTAAGAAATTCTCTATTGCGGGTCTGGAAAAAGTACAAATATAAATTAAGTGATAAGTTACCAATATGGACAGTACCCAGACACGTGATAGAGAATATAAACTTAGAGCAAAAGCAGGATAAGATTACATATAAGGAACTTCTTTATAACGAAGGAGTCAGATTACAATTAAAACCAATGGAGCAATTAAGAGAAGAAGGAATTATTAGGACATGGTTTCAGTATGGACAGCTGCAGGTCAGATGGAGAGAAGATCAAAAAATTGGTATTTTGCAGCAGGATGAGAATTTGATAAAGCAAACGAGATAAAGGTCAAATGCATATAAAAAGGTTGTATAATGCATTAGTGGAAATAGATTCAGAAACAGAGTTAGTCAAGGACTGTATGATAAAATGGGCACAAAACATAGGTGAACCAATAATGATGGAAACATGGGAAAAGATATGGGTCAGAAATGTAAGATTTACACAAGCACAAAATTTAAGGGAGAATTTTTATAAAATGTTTTATAGATGGCATTTAGACCCAAAAAAATTAGCCTGTATGTATCCAAATTTACAACCTAAGTGTTGGCGATGTGAGTGTGAAGATGCTACATATTTTCATATATGGTGGACATGTAAAAAAATTAAGGCTTTTTGGATAAAAATATGGTGGATTATTCAAAACATTTTAAAGAAAAAAATTAAATTTACACCACAATTTTTTTTTGTTGGGAATAGTCATGGATTGTACTGTAATAGAGACTAAGTTGGTTTTGAACTTAATAACGGCTGCCAGGTTACTGCTGGCACAGTACTGAAAGAAGGAAGATCCACCCACCATTGAGGAATGGACACTAAAAGTTGTGCATTTGGCAGAAATGGTGAAAATTTTATCATATCTTAAAGACCATTCAAATGAAAGATATATATCGGAATGGAGAAGATGGATCAATTACATACAGAAGAAATATCCGAATAAGAAGATTCATATAGCATATGAATGAAGTAACTTTGAGTAGTTTATGTTTGTTTTTTGAATTATAAGGAGTTAAGGATCTAGGGAGAATATGAGATGTAACAATTTGTTAGCATATTCTAGCTTTTGATTTGTGAATGCTATACCCTGTGCTTGTTCTGGGAAGTCTAGGGAGGGGGGTGGGAAAGGGGAGGGAGGGGTTGAGGGGGGAAGGGTGGGGGTGAAAATGTTTGTATTTTTCATAAAACTTTTTAATAATAAAAAAAACCAAGGCGCCTTGGGGTCGACCGCTGCCCCCCTGTCAACACAGATTGCGACCGGTCGGAGAGATAGGAGGAGAACCACTGCAGAACAGTGCCCCCCACTCCCAGTCCCTCCAGCTGGCGCAACATGATATCATGGTCGATGGTATCAAAAGCCGCTGAGAGATCTAACAGGACCAGGATAGAGGAGTAACCCCTATACCGAGCCCTCCAGAGATCATCCACCAACGCGACCAATTTATTTTTTATATTGTATTTTTATCTTCTATAAGCTGCCTTCAGTTGCCATGAACGAGTAGGTGGCAATATAATTTAAAATAAATAAATAATGCTGGTAGGGAAACAGGAATGAACTAATTGTATCTATATATATAAAAGCGAAATACCACTCATGCATCATCACAAAATCTCCAGAACTGTAAAAGCCTACAAATTTGAAATTTGCCACATATGTTCCTCTTGGCTTCTAGGTGCTCACTAAGAAAGGATTTTTCAAAATGACCACCAGACCATTAGTATTTCCTATATTATTATTAACACACTTTGATGCTAAGAAGTTCTACCCCCCTCCCCACCTGAAAAGAAATGTGTTCCAAATGCAAAACAGAAGCAGAGGAGAGGAGTTTCAGTTTCAGTTTTACTTTCACAGCAGCAAGCAGGGGATAGGATGGGGAGGCTTCTATGAGGCAAGCCTGAGGGAGGGAAGGAGGA